GAAGCTCAGCTCTGTGTGCTCCGCAGTCAACAAACGCGCGAGAAATAACGATCCTAAGTCTCAAAGCGGCTGCAGCATCAAACACGGAATGCAGTTTGTCGCCTGCATAGAAGGCGTGGTCTACAAGATTCCGTTTTCCTGCGGGCGTGCCTACATAGGACAGACTGGGCGTTGCCTCAACACAAGACTACGAGAACACCACAGTTCTATGAAAGGAACCGCTCACACGCATCTCGCGATGCATTGCCGGGATTGCGGATGCCAACCCCTGTTCAACAAGACTACAGTGATGTTCCGACACAACCACAAACTACACCGAGAAATGATAGAGACGTACCACATAACAAAAACCGGATCCTTGTGTGTGAGCCAGCCCACAGTGACTTTGATGAAGAGCGAGATCGGCTTTTTGGATCTCGGATAACTTGGCCGGTTTCGCATCGAGTGAAAGAAGAAGCGCCAGGGCCACGGAGGGGCATGCCGGCACGAGCGGCAGCAGCATCAGATGTCTTTTCTTTTCAATAGAATCAGTTGCTAGTTCAGCGCTTGTCCTGTGTTTCTGTGTTTCTCCTCTTTCTGTCCTTGTCCCAGTCGCGCTGTAAGTAATTATGAACTGAAGCGAAACTTGAAATACACCTATTATAGTCAGAAATATTTTTAATATGATCAATGATATCCGTAAATCATAATTGCGCGTTTGTATTTTGAACAGATGGCTATATTTTTCACCCTGAGGGGCCCGATTGGGCACGCGCTCAAAAATCAGCCATCAGAAAGCGCGATGCGTCTTGGGATATTGGGCGCATTCGTGACGTCCCTTCGCATTCGTGACGTCACTTGTGCCAGACGGGAAAGGCTACGGCGTGGATGTTGTGGTTACGAGCGTTGCCACTTGGTGGCGCGTCGACGATTTACGACTTGTGACAACGTGGCCGTTTGAGATGTGCAAGGGCTGCACGCACGCTGCACCACGGCAAGTCGGCAACCACGGCACCACTGACAAAATCAGCTCTGAGGCCGGATTCTCAAAGCGAACTCACCACGAAAAAAGTGCGTACGACAAATTTGAGAGAAAACCCATACTCTCGAAACGAAATTGTCGTAACTTTTGCGCAGGTTACGACAGAATCCTACGACAGCTCCGAAGCTGTCTTATGCACTTTTTACAATCAAATCAATATGGCCGACAGCGCCGCTGTTACTTGGTAGCGACGACCAACGGACATTTATTTTTCTACATGGTCTTCTCGTGCGTCCTGACTTCAACCAGCAAGAAAAAAAGGAAGGAGTACTTGAAACAGACCACGACGATCAAGAATGCAGGATCCACAAACACCCCAGAAGAGCTACAACGGCCACGATTCTACCGACCAAGCGAGCTCTGCAGAATATAGTAGGCCTAGCAGCAACACCGACTCGGCGCACCGTTGCTCCGGCGGTCCTTGGCCAAGACCATCTGCCCATCACCGGCTGGCCTGCTGAATGGAATATGCCCGCGCGACCCTTGTGGACCCTTCCCGGATGAATAGTTTGATCCCTGAACTAAATTTTAGAGGTCAATCTTTTCCCCTTGTCATCTCGATCTCCTTGTTTTCCGAGACAGCGGTGACGAACGGTGTCATTGAAAAGGGACTCATTGATTCTATCTCCTTGTTTTGTGTGATATAGAGCTCAAATAAACGCTATACAGGTTACCTTTGCAACACGGTATGTACACTTTGTTATTCGTATGCCATTTTTATTCTGACACGACGCTACGTCACTGTCGAGCTATAGCAGTTCGTGGAAGCTACGTGATGTCGGTCCAACCTTTCTTTGCCAAGTGTCATGTCAGTATCGAGTTGCAATCGTAAAAGATCGGTCCAGAAGCGCTTACCGAAACGCGGTCAAACAGAGCGAATCCAGCACTTCCATCAAACGCGCGTGTCCGCTCCGAGTGTGAACAGGTATTTGCGTGGCTATTGCTGACACTCTTGTAGTTCAAACATATCTTTTTTAACGTCGGCTCGCAGCAACTAATACCGGCCGTGCCAGAAGCATGCTCGGGTCATGTCGTGCAAAGAGCTGCAACCAACGTTACTAAAACACTCAGTTGGGAAACTTCACTTAGAAACAGCTCTAAAAAAGTGGCTCCAATCTGACTCCGAGCACCGAGCTAATGACGAACACAACGCCACCATTTCTCCCGCAGCGGCCAGGCGAGGAACTGCACGTGACTTCTATTTTGGCTTTAAGAACAGATACAGCGGAAGAGGTTACAGGGGTGCCACCCCCGTCTCCCCGGCGGACGCGCCGCATCTTACTACCGAAGTTAAAATGCACCTAGGGTGGGACGCGCTACCTGAAAGGCCCGCTGAGGCATGGTTCTATAAAAACAGTATTAATTGTGCCGCAAAACCCTGCAAACTAAAGATTTTAAAAACATAATGCACCCCTCTTTTTGTACTAAACTCCAATAAATTTCAGACAAAAAGAGTCTTTTCCGTTTGTTTTTACGCAAAAACAGGCTTTCAAAAAGCTCAAGTTGACCACAGTACAGACAAACGATGAAGAGTGGCGCTGTTGTCGCATTTAGCTCGGTCTCGGTCGACGCCAGCGGACCAGGTTTCGACGGCGAGTTTCCCAACTGAGTGTTCTAGTAACGTTGCGTCACACTCACAGTGGCTCACGTTACGGCTGCAACTGCATAGTTACCGTAGACAACCCTGGAACCGAGTGTCGCGCACACTTGACGAAGCTTCACGAAGAATATCCGAGCCCCGGACATTCTTCGTCTGTCGAATGCATTGATGTCAACAAACAAGCCATCGTCTGTGGTCCGCTTTCGGACAGTGAAATCGTGAAAGTGGTTAGGCCTAATTTCACATACTTCGGGTAAATGCATTTATTTAATCTGCAGCAGAACGGCACAGTGAGATGCACGTTGCGCTGCAGGCTGAGAGTGTCTGGTAGCCTCTCCGTGAACGAAACTTGATCCATGTGAGCGGGCTTCCGCGGTCGGATACTAGCAATATATAGGGTGGTTCAAGTCACCAGGCCCGATCTAAAATGGACCGTAAAAATTGACGCCTGCACGTAGCCATCTAAACTTTTTGTCTAAGGTGTAATTCACAGGCCGGTTTTTTCTTGTACAATTACAAAGCGTAGCTCCCTTTCTGTAAAAAATAATGCCAAGGAACTTGCCAGGGTCTACGGCGGGCAGCAACGCAGACGGCAGGGGTCCACGTAGACGGGGTCCACGTCGAACTTCGAAAGTCCGGCGGACGGTTTCATTTGAATTCAAGTAGTGAGGTACATTCGTAATTTTTTTTTTTCCTCGAACTTTTACATGCGGTGTAGCGTTGTTTACGAAAGACAATGCCGTTTATTTCAATGTTGCGGCATGCTTAGTTTTAAAGAAATAAATTCCCAAAGGAGCGAGGAATGACGACAGGTTTTTGACGATTATCGTTTGTAACAGATTTGAAGTGCGATGTAGCCGAAGTTATTTATGGTAGAGATGTTAAACTTTTTAGGATTGATCTATGTATAGCCTAGGTAAGTGTCGTCTTAAGATTGTTGTTTAAGGTGAGCATCGAACCTTATTGTTATTTAAGGTGAGTATCGAAGAAATGTCCAAAAATGTATCTACATGCAATTATGCCCTAAACTTGGTGTTTATTTTTGTCTAAGTTGTTTGAGGTATCGCATTTAAATTAACACAACAGACAGTACATATCATTGCCATCTGCAGAATACAAAATAATGTATTTATTGTTTTTTTCAAGTTAAGGGATAAATTAACTCATGGGAGAAGATTTCTAATATTGTTCAAGTTCAACACGTCACTAAAAAAAAACATTTTTTTTTTTTTTTTTTTTCGCTTTACGTTTTTGGGACGTGTTTCTTTTAGCCTGTAGACATTTTGGTAGGAGAAAGATGTTTCGAAGTTCTGAACCTCTGAATATGCAAGAATGCAACATTTCTGGCGAGTTCTTGATAGTTTTTTTTTTCTCTAGCCTTTTATCCCCGCATTTATTAATATTTTTTTTTTTTTACCATTGGCAAAGTTATTTAGGTCGTTAAGACAGCTTTGAACTGCCGAACCAGTAAGCATGTGACGAGTAGTGCCTTCTGACAACGAGTTGCTAACAATGACCATCTACGCAATCTTTTATGCAGTGAAGAGCGACAGTAGCCATACATATGCATAAATAATTTCAGATTAAAATAGGCTCGACCACGCCCTCTTTTCCCGTATTGTTTTCTTTAACAGTCTGAAATATCTGGAAGGGGGACTGAAGCCAACAGGTTTTTTCGCGATTTCTGCTCGTCTCTTGTGGCTTCCGTGATTACATGTTGTCGGTGGTTTGCGCGACAGAACAGTTCCACCGGTGACTGTGTCGTAACCGTAGTATCGCCTTGTGACCCAGGTTGCTCTGCACGCGACCTATGGAACCGCGTGAGCCAGACATTCTGCATTTATCAACCTTCATCAGCACTGTGGAAGGACAGTGGGCAGTCCTTTCCTCGAAGAAAGTCAAGCCTCTGGAAGTTTGCTTACCCCACCACATCGCCGCAGATTCGCAACGTGGAAGATAAAACGCGAGGCAAGCCATTTTGAGTCGAATGCTTGCTTGCTGGTGCCGCAGTGTTGTGTGTTGAGCTGGCACGTGGAACGGCAGGACCTGGATTCGACCGCCATATTTGCCCGATAGTGGCGCCCCCTATAGGTCGCTGGAGTCGCGAATAACCACGTTCCAAACCAGACATTCTCATTCTGACATGGATGAAAACGAACGAAAGGCTCGGCACGCTGCGGCTCAGCGTCTACGCAGACAAGCACCACCAGAGCTCCGCCCCAAGCAACATCATTCACCACGTGGAGATGCGGTAAATTTTTTTGAGTGCACTGCGACGTCGACCAACATGAACAACCAACTTGCCCAATCTGAGGCTCTAATAGAGCGTAGAATCTAATACATGTTCCCCGATGTAACGAGGCGGGAGGAGGCACTCACCTCCGCAATGATGTCCCAGATCCGCTTGATGCTGTCCACCACGACCGAGGGCGACCCCATCACCCTGACAATGTGCTCCGTGGAGCGAGGGCAGCAACTCTGTTTAACCTCGATCTTGGGCCTCGTGGACTGAAAGATGGACCACGACAGTTTGAGCACACAACCCGTGTCCTGCGCCACAACGACCAAAGTCGCCACGGTCGGCGACAGGTTGAGAACCCTCGAGCGTGAGCTTCCTGACTCGGATTAAACCTCACTGCCCGTGCAGAGAAAGCCCGGAGGAATGCAACGGGCAAGTGCTCGAGGCAGACCTTCTACCGGTTCCATAATCTGTCGTCGACTGCCGCAAACAACTTCACTTTAGAGGGCTCAATATTCTACAAATATTGCAAAACGTTGGTGTAGAAAATATTTTGCAGACACTGAATTTTGCGATACAGAGCGATATGTTATGCACTTGTCAACTTCAGGCAATTTATCTGCGGGCTACATTTTCTGCAAAACTTTTCGAAACACGAAATTTGCAAAAATTAATGTTTGCAATCTAGAAAGCCATACTTGGTATGGCACTCTTTCCCTTCCTTGTCCGCTGCCGCAATACAAGTCGTTTGCCCGTTCGCGTCCCGCAACACCCGCTTACATGCCGGCTTTGCTGCTTAGAGCCGAACTGACTCAAGCCTCTCAATGCATTTGCGTCCGTCTTACAGGTAGCAACAAACGAGCCAGTGCAAGAGGGCCGCGCTCTGCTCAGTCTTGGAAAGCAAATGGTGACGCGGCACTCGCTCGTGGCACGTGCCTCGTGCGTTCTCGCAACAACAGCTGTCGGCTCTCGTAATCAATGCAAAGCACGAATTTCGTCGAGGAGCTTTAGCGCAAACCTCGTTTGCGACGGCCACCGTTCCGAAACGCGACTTCCCGAGCAGTACGTACGGCGTTAAGAGCACCATCGCGGCGTCGCTCCGCTCTGCCTCAAACTGTTTCAGTGAGCGGGACGACGGAGAGCAGGCCTCGCATCTTACCATCGGGCACGTTGGCAAAAGCTGGTGACGAATGGCTGCACTGGTTCTAAGCACCCATGTGGCAGAAGTGCAGTTCTTAGAAAGTAAACTTTAGTGGTGAATCTAAAGCTGAATACAACTCACGTTTACACCAAAGCTCTATGAGAGCTACACAATGCAGTCGAGTTCTTTGCGTATTTTCCACTCCGAACGGTCCGGCGATCAATGGACCACAGCAAAATGGGAAGGGCTTGTCGTTTACGTGGTATCGATCTAGCCCATGTAGTTCCCGTGTCGCGCACTGCTCGGTTTCGGAAGGGATGCCCGAGACAGAGACCGGCGGGACCCACCTTAGGCAGCCTTTTGATGCGTTTGAAAAGGAGGTCGCGGAGGCTCCTGTGCATTAGCAGACGCATCCCACTCTCCGAGCGGCCGCTCTGGCCCGTGTGCTGCGCAAACTGTGAAACCCAAGCAGCCTCAGTCCCACGGGGAATCAATCCTGTACGCGTCGGCGATACCCCGGCCACGAACGAGACTCCGACCGGTGCATTTAGTGCGTCCTTGTTCGCAGACCCTCCGTGCAGTAGAGCGCCGGAGGTGGACATGGCGGGCGCACGCTCTGCAGCGGGTCGATTCTCTCGAGCTTGATGGTTTGTGGAAGCTTCGGCAGTCAGAAGTTGGGACGACGCAACAGACAGACACAGTCACGTTCGCTCATCTTTTTCTGTCGAAACTTCCACGACCAAACATTGAGATTGCGACAGCTCGTGCAGTGTATTCCATGGTTACTTTGGGACTGCATTCAACACACAGGCGGTATCGGATGCCGAACACATTGGTCGGAAACACACTCCAGGCACTGTAACCATACTGTCAGAGGAAGTGCAAGCTCAGTACTCGATGCATTTTCTCGTCTGAAAGCATTGGAAACCGAAATTGGAAGGTATAGCATCAATCGACGCGCATATACGGCACACGAGTGGGAAGAGTTTGACGCCAACCTCGAAAGCACAGAAACAAAATGCAACCAACTGGCACTCAAACGCTCGCACTAATAGAGCCCCTTAAAGCGAGTGGGAGAGTGACCTGGACTAGACACGACGTGAACATTTCCATACAAAGTATTTGAAGCTAGTTTACTTTCTGCATCATGCTTCCACAAAGCCGTTGAGGCAACTTGCGTGAGTATGTCGCTCCACTTGGCGTTTCCTTCGCTCGACAGCAAGTGCAAATCAGATGCCAGACGTGCCCGCAGTAGGTTCGTGATAATTAAAACTCGGATATTTCCCACTTACGGTTAATTCAAACAAACTTAAAGATTCTGGTTTTCCCGCTATGTTTTCAGCGCATTTATTAACTGCTTATATCAAACGGCATTCTCGTATAGTTCACACTCTTTGGGTCTCGCAGTCCCGTTGAGCGCGCTTCTTATCAAGCGCCATTGCACTGTGGAGAAGCAATGCCTGCAGAGCTCGCTTCCGTGGGTGTTGCTTTTACGCGGCGCACAGGCACTTGGTAAGAAGTGAGCTCATAGCTAATAGTCCACAAGAGACAACATTTTTGAGGGGTGAATAAACTTATGTCATACATTTCACCAGTGTTCGACGAGTGGCATACCTGATTATAGTCAATAGGCCCTTGTAAAGGAAATCATCAAATATCTGCTTTGTAGGTGTAGCCATATTCATATAACAAATCATAATTTTAACTTGCGTCCCATTAGGAATAATTTCTGATAATTCAGAATAAAATTTGGGGCTTCGTGCAGTTTGAATAAATGAGCGTCTACCGTACTGTCGAAGGTAGCAGATGTATGCTGGAGACGGGACAACTGAAACTCCTCCCTGCTGTTTTCATCTTGTCGGTGATTAGCCTAAAAAATGACGCCCGAGAAAGTAGACGCCGAATAAAAAAAAGAGAAGAGTCGAACATGGCTACTCACGTGATGCATCTTGGGAATGATGCTGGCCAGAATTTCTCCGAGGGTGTCCAAGTCGGCCACAATGGACAAGATCCTGGGGGGACAGCCACAGCGTGCCAGGGAAGACAAAAGTAGACGAATAACACTCCGTCGCGGGGGGCACACACCCGCCCACCGTGCTCCAAGATCAAGTCCGGCCCAGAAAGTTCCGCCCCCAACGACTTCATTGTCAACCCGCTTTCAAATTTGGCATACAGTGTAGACCGCATATAACGTATGTCGCGTGAGTCGCGAAAATCCGCACTATAAGCGGTACCGTGCTATAACCAAAACATCAATTTTTCAGGCCAAAATACATGCCATGAGACAACTTACCTTTGTAAAACAATTTATTTTATATTAGACGAAAAATAAAGCTTAGTTTGAGGAAAGTCTTTATTTCACCAGACTAGTACAGTTCTGTCTCAAGTGTGTCACACATATTGAAAGAAATTAGCGACTTTTGCATGGCGCAGCCTTTTAACGGAGTCGCGGGTTGCGGACAGACGCTGAGAGCGTTCAGGATTGCTAAACCTAATCACTTTTCTCCGGCGATGAAAACGCGTGAAAATTCGCATCCTTTACACGGTACGCGCCAGTAGTACTTTCAACTTGAGCACAGGCGTGAAATGCTCCAAATAAGAGATCCGGGCGATGTTCGAAAACACAAATGCTTAGAAAGCACCACTGTAGTCGAAGTAAACAAACACGACGACACGGGCGTTTCTGCCGTCTTGAGAGCGCCGCCACAACATCGCCGCACGAGTAGGTGAATCTTCCCTTCTAGTTCGTGCTGGTTTATCATAGCGACACACAACGAAAATTCACAGTCAAGGATAGCGCTTTTACGCGGAACGATGGGTTTCCACCACGCTGTCTACGTCGACAATCACAACCGACGCGATGTTTGCGGATAGAAGCAGCCGGCCCGCGACCGGCATGCAACGCGCGCAAACACTTCTCCTCGACCTGCAATTGGTCTGTCGTTGAGGTTGTTTTCCAACGCAGTGGAGGGACGCACGCACGTGAACGACGACACGTGCGTGTGTCCCTCCGTCGCTATGGCAACTGAAGCCTCTCTCTTCGCTTCTCCCCGCTTCTTCGAGCAACCTCCTTACCCCGCAAGTGCCGCTCACAGCTCGCGTCGTTATCTAGTGTCGCACAGGGAAGCGTGCTCGCTGCGTCGGTCGGCAGGCTGTTCCAGAAACCGCACTATAGCCATTATTTCCCTTCGCGCGCCTGCATTTTAAGCGGTATGTAATTACATGGAGTTCTATGGGAGGCGAACCGGCGGTTTAAAAAAGCCGCGTTATACCCAGTCCTGCACTATAAGCGGTTACGTTGTAAGTGGTCTATACTGTATTAACACAGCCTGTGGTAGTAGACCTAAACTCTTGCCTCAGATACTCAACAGAAGAGCACAAACTTGTGTTTGGGAGTATAGTTGCCTTTGATTATCTCGGTCAGGCTGCAACGTGTCTCTATACTTGGTCTGGACAGTTGTGTTGAGAGGTAGCAAGGCAAGGCCTTGCTACATCCCAGATAGCAAAGCCCAGATAGCAAAGCTTTGCTGTCGAGGGGGTGTTGGTTGAGAGCTATACCAGGAAAAGCAAAAGCATTATTAGAGCATACCTCGGCAGAATGCTTGGTTTGCATGAGCAGCTACAGTCCTTCTATACCTGGCATTCAACGACACTGGCAAAGACCTCTCGAGAGCTTTCTGTCCGCAGACCTCACAACGCTCCTACTCCATGTACAGTGGAAGACTGTACGAGGCCAATGCACCGTCAATGTTGGTGTTTTACGGATGACCGTGGACACACGCTGCAGCATTTCAGAGGATACCCCTCCTCCCACACGCAACCGCAACACCCCATTCTTCGAATCTCGCTTTCCATAAAATCCCAGATGCGCGACTTTTAAAATGAGGGCTTGCTGGGACGGACTTGACAGACACTTCAAGGTCAACACCACCCCCTTTTCCCAAAGCAAACCGTCCCAAATCAGCTGACCTCCTACGCAAAAGCAACCACATCCTGTCAGCGAAGCGGTCCCATGCCAACGCTTCCCCCAAGTTCCAAGCCGGGCATACGACAGTCGAGCACAGTAAGCAGCATCCGTCTGCTACACACAGAGTGCAGACGTACCCACGCCACGGCGAAGGGGGTGCAACGTTCAGCATACTCGAAAGGTGTCCTTGATTTGTTAAAGGCGTTGTGACTTCATTAAAGAGCAGTGGAAGAGTTAGTCAAGCATTCAGGCATCTTTCCTGCACTTCCCCCTTCTTTTGGGTGGGGGAAGCGACATTTGGGTGGGGGGGGGGTCCACTAGGGGTCCCCACGATCAAAGGGGAGTACCGCATTTAGCAAAACTCTTGTCTTGTTGTTGTTGTTGTTGTTGTTGTTGATGATGATGATGATGATGATCTTTATTGGTTCAGGAGAGCCGTGGCACCACGGAAAGGCAACAGCCCGTACCACGGAGGCCTGCCGTGCAACGTCTAGTGATGATGATTATGAGGTGGTATATACAAGAGGAGGACATGCGACGTATAGATGACAGAGAGGTTATGACGATGTGAAATAAAGCACGCGGGTGAGTGCGTGGACCGATGTTGCAGGCGATGTGGGCCCAGTGCTTCCCAGTGGGCTCAACTTGAAGATGGCTCGCTATCAAAAGTATCATCACTAATTGAGACAGCCGCTAACATAGAATGTAAATTAGTAGGAGTGAAGTCTGCCTACAAATTTGAGCTCTGGATTTTAGTTCAATAAAATGCCGCCTCTTCTATTGGACGTGCAGTGGACTCATTCTGCAGGCAAACTGCGCATTGGCAAGGACGTAATAACTTCCTAAAACATTCCATTTCTGATACAAGAAAAAAAGAAAACCTTTTTATCACTACACAACACTTGACCCAGGCAAGGAGATCCTTGCTCCACAGATCCGAGCAAACTAATTTCAAGCTAAAAACCACTCGCGAGCGAGGCAGGGACGTCGCATCGAGGTGAGCCTCTACATAAGTTTCTGGATTGCGACACGTCATATACATTTCCACAATGGTAATGCCAATATTTGTAAAAAAATTACACCATCTTCCCGAGGGGAACCGTGGTGTGATGCGGAGCATCGTTCCATCACACTTCATCGGAAGAACGAAGTGAAGTGGAGTCAACAGTGGTGAACTGAATGCACGCAGAAATTGGTTTGCTCTTTATGTTTATACAGCTAGCCTTGATGGAGATGCGCCTTAACGGGTAATCGGTCTCTTAGCTATAGATGAGAAATTTAGCCAGTGCAGTACAACCACTAACCTGGGATTCTTAACGTGAATCACGCAGTAGTCATCACACGAACGCGTGCTGGTACGAAACTTATCCAGATCGAAACGGGCAGGGGGTGGCGGGGACGCGAACCCAGGAGGTTCCCAGCGCAAGCTTTCGCTCCACGCTCCGAGCTGAGACGCGTTAGACCACTCGGCCACTTCCTCCCCTTGAACGCGCGCAGCGCGCTACCGCTGCTTATAAACTTGAAGGAGAAGAAACTAGAGGAGGAGAGTTGCGCCTGCGTGCGCGGTGCGAACGCACGCGAAGTGCACGCAGCTGGTAGCTGCGTGCACTTCGCGCAGCTGTTGAAGAGAAAGAGAACGCACGCGCAGCTGTTGGAGAGAGGGACGCAGCTGGTAGCTGCGTGCACTTCGCGCAGCTGTTGGAGAGAGGGAACGCACGCGCAGCGAGGAGAGTTGCGCATGCGTAGTGTGAGTGCGGACTACGACGCCGCGGGACATAGCCCGAGCAAGAGATGCTCCGCATCTAAAACAAATTCAGCTTGAACTGTACTGACGCTGGGAGCATTAAAAAGATTTTTCACTTCTGTCGTTCTGGGGCTCTTGTTATCTACCTGCTCTACAAAAACAACAACAACAACAAATTATTTGTGCGTGTCACCTTTCTGTATAAAAGTGTGATTCAAAGATTTGTGCCCAGGAGAATCGCATTCAGCATTGGCCCAGGTCACGTGTCAGAGAAGGCTCAGTGTCAACTCTGATGCTGATACCTTCTCTCTTGACCCCTTTGAATATCTGTCGATTCAGCTGAAGCAGGGATGGGCAGTATTTCAAATACAAGTATTTGAAATACATATTTCAAGTACTTTCTGTATTTTGCATTTGTATTTAATTACAAATTGGGTAGTGTATTTGACGTGTGTATTTAAATACTAAAATGTGGGTATTTCAAATGGCAATTGTAATTAAATACAATTTTGTGGGCGAAAATACATCCCTCAAATTTATTGTCACTGTCCAGAGCAGAAAGAAAACTACGTTCTGCACCGAATGCAGTGTCTCTCAATCAAGCACAAGCGTTTAGTGACTTTGTGATTACGGTGCTAGTCCAGGGCAAGAATAGTGACGAAATCGACGTTCACAGGCAGACTGGTTAAACAAGTGCCTGTGACAACTTGTGATGCTTTCCAGCCTGATTTCCATCCATATTTTTGCCTGGAACATTCAAATGCGCAGGTCGCAAATTTTCGTAACTGGTGCGAGTTACAACAATAAATTTCTCTAGCTGGTGCTGCGCGTCTTGGTCGTCTCGGTTCTTTGGTCTATACCAAAATGTAATCGACAAAAAAAAAAAAAAACTGCTTGAAGCTCTACTTTTTTACCTATTACGTCCAAGGTGATTACATTTTTTTTGTGATTATATTTCTATTACGTTACTAGAGCCTCGCACACTAACTCTCGAGTGTGCGATGCAAAATTAAAATGAGATACCCAAAAACCCGTTGCAGGTGCCCTGAAGTCACTGACGCAAATTTTGAGGAACGTATTTGGAAAAGTATTTGGAGGAGACCAAATACATTTGGTTGTATTTGTATCTTATACTTAAATGCTTTTTTGAAAATGTAATTAGATTTGTAATTAAATACATTTTTGACGAAGTATTTTGTATTTGTATTTCAATACATATTTGCATGTATTTTGCCCATCCCTGAGCTGAAGGCTCGATCGGGTAAAACCCTCCGAATTTGGCTGGACGTTCTGATTTGGAAATGATCAGTTGGGCCGAAATGTCCATTTGGCTGAAGTCCCACTTCACCTCAATGCTGCGATTATGGCTAGACGTTTCAACCTAGCTTGCTTCCCAATTAGACTGGTCAATTCAATTTGGTTTAACTTTCAGTTCAGCCATAATTTGCAAGTTGAGTGGATGCTTCAAATCGGCCCACTTTTCAGTTCGGCTGGAAGCCTCAGTTTGGCTCCAGCATCTCAGTTAGGCCAAAAGGTTAGTCGGGTTCAGGGCCGTACCCAGAAAAAAATTTCGGGGGGGTTTTTCGGGAACAACGGCGGCCATTTTGAAAGTGTCTATTGTCTTATTTTCGCCTATGAATCATGTGCATCGGTGGTATATAATGGAGAGTTGCAGCAAACCGGAGAACCGGTCCCGGTTTAGTATCCGGTAGCCGACCGGCGCCACTGCGCGTGCGCAGAGGTGGAGATTAAAATCGGCTGGCTGCAAGTGCACGACCAGGGCCGTACCCAGAAAAAAATTTCGGGGGGGGTCAGAACCCCCTATCTTCGAATCGGCCCACATTTCAGTTCGGCTTGAAGCCTCAGTTCGGCTCCAGCATCTCAATTCGGTCAAAAGGTTAGTCGGGTTAGTTTGGAGTATGTCCGCAACCACTGCAATCGTCAAAGGAACTCGAATCGCACTCCTTACACAGGGGTGCAGCGCACGTGCCAACGACAAAGTGGTTCTTTTGAGGCCCACAGGCCGAGTCAGGCCAATCGAAAGCCGAAGTGAAAGACCACCTGGGTGCACCCCGGCGCCACCTGGCAGAGAAGGGGGAGGAGGGCGTCCGAGGGCCGGCTAGAAGAGGGAAAGAGGACCTACCGTTCTGGGCCGGGACAGTCTGGCACCGAAATACTTGCTTTGAACTGGGGCAGCGGGAACGGTCAGGAATCGGAGGAGAGGAGACATTCGTTGGTGGCATTTGCGGTTTGCGTACGGGGTCACGCCCGACCAAAGGAGGCCATGGAGAGAGGAGAAAAAGAAGAGGGCGACAAGAACAATGCTGAATCATCTTAGTCCGAGGGGGACCCTGGCCTACAGAGGCACCTGCTCCTGCCCCAACCCTCAAACTTCCCCAAAAACGCGGTCGCGCACAGACACCACGTGCGGTGCCGTTGTCTGCAAACGAGACGGGTCGCTAATCGCACCGCGAGATGCCGGCGTTGTCATCGCCGACTGGAGAAACTGCTGCCACAAAACCGGCGTAGAAACTACTAGTTTCTTACTTAACTGCATGACTTGGTGCCTAACGGAATTAAAGAAAAAAAATCTAAGAGCACACGAACTGTGCCAGCACACCAGAAAAGGCTGCTCATCTGTTTGCAAATCGGCAGAAACTTGAGAAAACGTCCAACTAGAGTCACTAAAAGGTTACGCCTCAGGGTAACAAGAGTCGCAGCACAGAGAGTTAAAGACGGGAACAGAACGCGGAAAATCCTGAGAGCAGATGTCGGCGGTTCCGAGAGAAAAAAAGAGAAAGAGGCAGAAGAGCGGAGAAAGAAAGCAGAAAAAAGGTTAGGTGTGTTCGTCCTGCCGCACTGATTTTGAGTTGCTTGAGCGCTTGTCAACTTTATTGTTATACGATGCGCAATCCCGGTGTTTTTCTGCAAAGTAAGCTAGGAAAGAGCTACTTGGTACAAACCTTACAGGTGATGTTTTGCAGCTTCCTTGTGTATATAAGGCGTCGCCGGCAGTAGGCAGATCGAGACCCCAAACCGAGACCACCAATGTACGCGCCTATGCCCCGCTGTTCCAAAGCGGTACGAATGAACGGGACCTTCCCTCTAGATTACTACTGGGTGACCCAAGGAGCGGCCAGGCCCTTTAAATCGACCGCAAAATTCGGTTTCTTAGCCTATCGCACTAAGATTTTGTGCAGCTTTGCCCACAGATAGTGCATTTTTTTGTAAAATTTGCAAAGAGCAAGCTTACCTGAGGAAAAAGTAAAGAAAGAAAAAGGCTTAGGTCCTATGAAAACGCAGTAAAATCACTGGTCTTCAAACAATATGGCGCCGCTTCGCACAGGAGACAAGAGATGGCGCAAGCGGTCGCGATGCCAACTGCCGCCAACGAACGAGCATACGCCGCCGAGAGCTGGCGTCTTCAGCAGACGATTGTTTCGACTCAAAAGCGGCGCGAGCTTTTCTCATATCAGTTGCCAATGCATTATTTGATCATCCTTACTAACAAAACATATTGAATGGACAGATAATCGATTAAAAAATGGTTTGTCGGGATATTTTGACTGTATTTTTCGGGTTACTAACGTCGTCTGCTTTGCAGTTCCTTGTTGTTACCACACCTGTTTTTGTTTCTGCGACTGTCGCCGCTTGCGGAACGCGTGCCGCTTTTGAGTCGAAAAGATTGTCTGCTAATGACGCCGGCTCTCGGCGCCGTATGCTCATTCGTTGGCGTAAGTTGGCATCGCGACGACTTGCGCCATGCCATCTCCTGTCTCCCGTGCAAAGCGGCGCCGTATTGTTTGAAGACCGGTGGCTTCGCTGCGTTTCCATAGGAGATAAGCCTTTTTAATGCAGCTCGCTCCATGAGACAGTTAATGGATTAACTGCCTCATGGAGTGAGCCGACGTCATCAGTTCGAAGTGCGAAAACGGCACTTAGTTTCCTTCGGTTCCATTGGCTGGCACGCGTCGACGGGGCTCCCATTGGCCGCTGTGCTCGTCAGTTCCCACGACCACTCACCCCATGGTGCTGCGTGTCCATCAGTCCGGCGTTAACACAGAGCGTCAAGGTTAATTGCCCAGGGGCACACGCGCACTGACTGGCGACGAAAAGTATGCAGCAGACAAAAAAAACTTTCAGCCTTTCCACTCTGGTGAAGAAGAAAGATCAGCGAAGCTAAACTATGGTCAGGCGACCTCAAGGACGACTTCTTGGACGACCTCATAGACGACGCCTAAGGAAGACTTCTACGACGCCGCCTAAGGACGACGTCTAGGACGACGACCTTGAAGACGACCTCAGAGTCGACCTCAAGGACGACTTCCAAGACAAACTCGAGGACGACGCCCAGAGGATGACCTCAGGGACAACTTCTAGGATAATTTTGAAGACAACATCTCGGACGACCTCAAGGACGACGTCTAGGACGACCTTAAGGATGAAGTCTAGGGTGACCTCAAGGACAACTTCTAGGATGACCTCGAGGACAACTTCAAGGACGACCTCAAGGACGACATCTAGGACGACGCCTAGAGAAATCCAGCCTTTCCACTCTGGAGAAAACTAGAGTCAAAAAGCTGGAAAGGTTGTCGCCATCTATGAGCAAGGCCGGCAAGCCGATTGTCTGATTGCCGCCGTTGCTCATAGATGGCAGAGTTTTGTGTCGACATTTCTTAGCGGGGGACACGATCCTGGGGAAACTAGCCCTTAACAGCTCCGCTGTAAAAGGGAGCGGAGGAGCGGCTTGCATGCTTTCGCATTCACAACTCATAAGGAATGCTCAGGTGTACCTCAATCTTTTTCTTTCTTTACTTTATCCTCAGGTGAGTTTGCTCTTTGCAAATTTTACAAAAAAATGCACCATCTGTGGGCAACGCTGCACAAAATTGTAGCACGATAGGTTAAGAAACTGAATTTTGCAGTCGATTTAAAGAGCCTGGCCACTCCTTGGGTCACCCAGTATATTACCTCTATGCACAGCGCTGACTCAACGCAATATCAGCACTCCACTGGGCAACACCCCACCTCTTTTTACTCACAAACACCATGCCGCACTTACTCGGAGCAGACTTAGCACCGACAGCGGCGCCGACGTCGCGTCATCTTGGAACCGAGATACTCACACGGAACGTCCCAAGCACTGCGTATCAAGGGGCTCTAGGTAAAACTGACGAGCCTCTGCCTTGTTGGCAAGCCGCAACATTGGCCTCGGATCGGCTGACTCGGACCGGCCACCGAAAGCGGCCAATCAGTGCGCTTCATTTTTGAATGTGGCGAAGGCTTCGAGGCCCGGGGATTCGGCAACGTTCCAGCGACTTTGCACCGACCGATTCACCGACACCAGGCACGCTCCGAGAGATGCCCGCCGCTTGCAGATAACGGGGCCGTTTAAAACTAAGAAGCTCGACATCGTTCACGGCACAAACCCGCCCGCGAAAGCGACAAGAGCCAGACCAAAATAAAAACAAAAATAAAAGAAAGAGCCATATTCCAGCACAACTGCAGGGACCTCGTTAACGGCGTCTGATCAAACGGAAAGTACCACGTGGCCACAGGGGCCTGAACTACGGCTCACACCATCTCCGATACCTTCTTCGTCTGCCCTGAAGGAAATTCAAGATAAGATGCGACGGGTTCATTGTCCCCCAACCAAAGACGGTCCCACAAAGTTAGGGTGAGGGGGCATCGTTGGCCCGAGTCTTTGTTAACGTGCCGCGCAGCTTGGAGCAGGGGGGGGCGAACTCTCATGCTGCAGAACCTAGGAGTCCTAGGCGCAGTACTCCCCCTGCCTGTCTCAATCTCGACAAGCATCATACCTTCGTGCGATCGTGCTCCCCTACTGCGCGATGCACGTTGAAGAGCCCGGGATAGCAGTACAGGTTAACCTCGGTTTAACGAAGTTCATTTTGTTAAACTTCATGAAGTAGAGGAAGGGAGACCTCGCGCATAGGCTGCGCGGGGAATCCGAATTTGTTTGTTTAATCGTGAAATTCATAAAAGCGGGTTTCGTAAAATCGAGGTTCAGCTGTAGTACTGCTCTAAATAAGCGAAGTTCCCTCTGCCTAAACATACGCAAAACACAATTACTTTAAAAAGAATGAAGCAATTGCAATATTACAATTCACCAAGAAATGAGGTCCCTTCCTTTGGCATGCATATTTTGCAGCATGTGCAGGCGAGAGAAATCTCCAGATGAGGTTACAGCGTTCATATATTTGAGGAGGTAGCAAGCCCCATTACCGACGACAGCCGGAGAGAAACATTTGTGAGGGTGTGTGAATACGAGAAAACGGAATTAGAATCAATACTCGATACTTTACAGGTTAAGAATGCTTCAAACACCCGTCGCAAAGAGACACCCACTGGCCACATTTAACTAGGGCCACTGTTGCTACAACCTCGCAATCCGTATAACTGTGGCGCATTCACCGCTCGAAGAACGTAAGAGCCCCTTACTTAACGCCATCCGCAAAGGGATCCAAGGAACGCAGTCACAAAAGCGTCGGTAAACCTAAAGTTTGCGAACGCCCCTTGTCAGCCGAGCCGTAGTCCAGACGCCCCGCCGTGTAACATGACGCACCTCGCGGGAAGCCAGCCAGAAGGGAGGGGGGCTTAGTGCCGCCAGGCCTAAAATTTCTTTTAATTTTTTTTTATTTAGGGTGTTAGTGGTGCAAGCAGGTGCCTCTGCCATTAGCCACACAAAACAGGCACAGCTGGAGACATGCAGAAAATCCCCCCAAAAACCCACTGTAACCCAGGAAAGGGCGCGACACCGTCACACCCGACAGAAACCGAGTCTACGACCCACGTTTCGAAAGACTGTGGTGCCAGTTCACCCGCTTAAAGTCGGTTTCACAAATAGGCGCTTGAGTGCAAACAAATCAGTCATGACCAGAACGCATTCGAATGTGTCGCAAAATCAAACTGGCTCCATCTATTGGGTGACCCTGGAACACATCCTATCCGCATACATTTCCCAATTATTTTCAGCTAAGATTATATCTGCATATATATTCCTCAAGTATTTTATGGTTCCTTCACCGTAGACTTTGGAAACTCTTACCATGTTATAAGCTGCCATTTCTCATACATAGTGCTGGAAATAATTCTCACAGTGTCATCCGAACCACCTTTTGTAGATAGTGCGTAGATTCGATTTCGCAAACACCGCAACGCCTTCAATCTGCTTACATGCAGGTTGAAGGTGTTCTTAGGTTAACAATAGATGGTGCCAGTGGAGCATTTTTGCGTCGTAAGCATTTGCAGGTGCTTGCGACGCACCCGGTCGCACATGAAATTCAAATATACGAACCAGTCCACACTCTCTCGTGGACGCCGTGTTACGAATGATCGACGAATAGCAATCGACGGTGCACTCCTTCCCCGGTTGCCGGCGGAGACCGTTTGTTCTCGTGCAACTTTCAGATTAGTATAGAAGTGTTCGCACGACCCAATTACACCCCAGAGCCGTATAGGGGGAGAGTTTGGTCAGTCTAATGATCTCGCCGCCGTAACGCTCTCCTCCCGAGTGAGCCAATTAGCACGCGCCGCAGAGCGAGGCTTGAGCGCATGCGCGTGAACTCCCGGCTGCTCCCAGCTGTGTGGGGAGGGCCGCCATCTTCGTTCATTCTCCCGGCGGAATGGGTGGGATCGGCATCTAAATCTCGATTGTTTCCTTTTATATCGCTGGCTCTGGCAAGAAAATGACATACTGTTATTCCTCGGTCGGTGAAAAAGCTAATAAATGAAGACTTTTCGGCGCATGGCCACAAACTTTTATTCAGGCGAAAAAGAAGTCGGCCCATAGCAGACGACGCGTAGCCTCAGCAGTGCTCTTCTCCGACCAGTTTCCGATAGCGTTGCTAAAAAATGGCGGTCGTCTCCTCTCTGCTCCCTTCTTTCTCTCTCGCTCCTTCGGCGCTCTCCTCCCTTTCATTTACTTTCCTCCTCTCCGGCGCCTTCGTCGCCACACCCACTGGCCAAACTCTCCCAATATACGGCTCTGGCACACCCCTTTCGAAGCTGGGTGCAATGCAGCAGACACCGGGAAGCGTAGCAGGCAGGCGCACGAGACAAGTAAGAGGGAGAGCTCTGGCGAAGCTTCGACGGTCTCCGATTTGTCTCAAAATTGGTTCGACACGCTAATGGATGCGTCTAAACCACTAGGCACAAGAATTCCAGTCACTATAATTATTTCTCGCAAAGTTACTGGAGTTTCAAGCTTGGCCCGAGAGACCGGGAGGCCCTAACGGCAACACCGAAAACGCAGCGTCAGATGTTGTAATATGGAGCAATATAGGGGCGGTACAGCTCGTCTCGACGGGCTATGATAAGCTCGAAGGTGTGAAACAAAAGTTAGTTAAGCTCACGCCGGCAAAACAAAAAAAAAACATGCGCAAAATGTTCCGTTTTTATAGGCTGCCCATTCGACTCGCACGTTATGCTTGACTCGCAGGTTGTGCAACATGCGACGTCACCCCGCTGGAGATCAGGAAAATTGGAACATCAGTTTTGGAATCTCATTTTTTGCGGTTTTCCCAATAGCCACTGAACTTTGTGGGAATAAATGGCAGATTACGTACCTTTTACGTCCGGGGACCAGTGCTGAAAGGGGAATCCGATGGCTGTCCCACGGCGTGGCTGACGGTTACCAGGGAGGGCGGTCGCCGCGCCGGGTTCACGAACGCCATGCCAACAACGATGATCCCGGTATCCAACAGCGTTTATTGATGCGAAAGCGTTAACTGTCTCATGGAATGAGCTCACGTCATCAGTTGGAAGCGCAAAAACGGCAGATAGTTCCCCCGTGCCTTCGCTTCCATTGGCTGGTGCACGTCAACGGGGCTCCCACTCGTCGCTGCGCCATGGCCTCCGAGATCCCGAAGTGCGCGCTTGCTGGTATGCAGCAGACGACAAAGAAAGCGGACAAGCGGCTTGCATGCTTTCTCATTCAGAACTCATAAGAAAGGCTTAGGTGTACCTCGTGCTTTTTGAGTGCCAGGGGTCCCCAACAAGACACTGCGGTCAAGCGAGCCGTGGAAACAGAGTGCCCGCATCACCCGCCGACCTGAGAGCCAAAGGGGTAATTGCGAGCGGAGTCATCGCCGGTTGGACGAGCTCACGCCGCCACCCGTCGTCGCAGGAGTTCGGGGCCAGGGCTCTTCGCAGACGGACGTCCACTAGGAGGAGGGAACGACAACTGTCAGAACCAGGGGAAACGCTAGCGTTGAGTCATCGCCGGTCGGACGAGCGCACGCTGCGACTCGACCCCTCGCCCGGAGTTCAATCCAGGACTCCCCGACCAAACGACCGTCCACTCGGAGGGTAGGCCGGACTCTCCTGCGACGATGGATAGCTGCGTGAGCTCGCACGATTGACGATGACTCCGCTTGCAACTACCCCTTTGGCTCTCAGGTCGGCGGGCGCTGCGGGCACACTGTGTCCACGGCTCGCTTGACCGCAGTGTCTTGTTGGGGACCCCTGGTACTCAATAAACGCTGTTGGATGCCAAGATCATCGTTGTTGGCATGGCGTTGGACGAACCCGGCGCGGCGACCGCCCTCGCTGGTAGTAGCAGTCGGCCGCGCGGTGGGACGGGCATCAGATTTCTCTTTGAGCACCGATCGCTGGACATAAAAGGTACGTAATCCTTACGTATCCCCACAATTTAGAGATAACAAATAGCACACTCGGAAGAGCGAAGCGTGGGCACTCCGAAAACGTGTTTTGTTTTCAGTTGCCCGAAAAGCCGCCAGAGCTCCTCTTTAATCTGCCCGCAGCGAAGCCTGAGGTGGGCTGCAAAGCGAGACACCTTGCCGCAGTAATGAAAACTGGTTACGACGGCGCCGAGCCAACAACGCGCCGCGCCAATCTTGGAAGAAAAAGCAGCAGTGCGTATGGGATGCTACCCCTCGAGGCACCAGGGCACGGCTCCAGCATGCAAGGGCAGGGACACGCGCACGACGGGCCCAAAGCACAGAACTCATAAGCGAAAGGCAGCTTTTCATAGAGTTGCCCGAAAAATGAAAAAAATCCGCGTGTTGCATTTGCCACTGCCCTTCTTGCTAGCACTTACACATGGGCCATTGGGACGGGTGTCGGCTTCGCAACCATGGAACACACGTCAGTTGTGGGCTTACGAGCGCTGTGTCTCTAAAATGCTGGTGTAAGCAAACATCTGAATGTTTTTCCCTGTACAAACGTCCATTTCAGAAGCCGTCATCCGACCAAAGCCGAGAAACGTGTCTGCGGTCCCGATTGTGGCGACGCCGACCTCGGCAGCGAAACCGACCGGAAAAGAGCAGTCGGCTGGCTCACACGTGGATGGAGGACTCCACCAAAAGTGCCAAAGGGGGATGAAACCGCCGGGGAGACCCCACTCACCTCTCTTCTCAGGCTGTTGATGTTGGCGCCGCCCACGCCGATGATGGCATCGGCATCCTGGACAAACAAAAAGGGCTCTTCAGACCCACGCCGCGTCAAAACACGGCGCCTGCAATGCGTCCCTGACTGATGCGCTCTTCACGTCCAAAAAAGCACTCTCGACTTTCTCCCGACGACGTCATCCAGTCAAACCCACTTATAGTGATCTCACATATAACGACCTATCAGTTATAACGACCAGCCTTCAGAAAATATATGATTTCAAGGCCCTACCTATTTAAATTTGGTCCAGACAAAACAACAGTTTTCAAAGCATCATACTGTTACAACGAACACTAAATCCACTTTCTAAATAAAATAAAAATAAAAAAGATTGAGTTAGATTCTGGACGCGGCGTTCCGGGAGGCACTCAAGGTCATTTCCACGGCCACGCGGAGGGGGAGGAAACAAAACTACGAAAAGCAAAAACGCCCTCCCAGTTTGCATAGTCTCCTGATTGTGCATGCGCGGGAAGGAGGAAGTCAACTCTCGCGCTGTGCTGCATTCGTTCGTTCTATGTTTGCAAACTCCGTATTCAACTCAAGGAAAACTCAATGCTCGATATAAAGTGGCCAGATCCATCACCATCGTGACTGTTTGTTTACGCTCGCCATTTTGGTATCGTGCATTCTCTCTCGTGTCTATGAACTCGCGTCTGTAGTTTTAAGATGAGAAGAAAAAAAAAATCTACTAAGAGGCTTTATTTAAACGAAAGGGCATCACGCTGGTGGAAAAAGATAACAACGGAGCAGCACTGCGTGGCCTCACAATCCCAGACAAGCGACGAGCTCACAAAGCGTTTGAAAGGCAACCCTGCCAAAGGCGACGGCTGCGCACTCGTACATGCGCAGGAAGCGCAGAACTTAAAACGCTTTAGACCTAAACAAGTATTAATTACCTCTGTGGACAGCAAAGAACACTCGTCGAACTTGTGCACGGCATTTATTCTTGCGTTGGCGTGCGTTTCATAAGATCCGTTCTATGAGGTATCTGGTCAATCTTCATTATTTTACTTCCTCGGTAGTATCGTCAGCAATTTACTTTTTGATTATCTCAAAGCTAAATCTGCCTTCGCGTTAGAATCGTGCAAACAGTTTCTTTAAAAGCGCTGGCACAGTGAAACTACTAATACCAGCTTCATCCGACTTTCCGGCTTTTGCAATGTCATTTGTTGACACTCCGGGACTACTTTCAATGCACGGGCGGAAAGGACGCTAAACGCACCAGTCGGAGATGCATTCCGTGCACCGTAATCCGGATGCAAAACCTTCCTCCCCTTTCCCAATCCAAAATGCGAGGACAATCACTTTCCCCCTTTTCGTGTGTTTTCAACAAGTCTTTAAAGAAAACTGCATTCTTTTTTAGTTTTGTTTTTGTTTTTACAGATTTGTTTTAAAGACCGACCAACGAAACCATTTTCCGCACGGTAGGAAAATGGCCCTCGCGCCCTCCTCTTTTCACCCTCTCCCAAAAATCACGTGACGGCAGGGGCTCGTTTCGTGTCGGCATTTTCTGTATGGATAATCCTCAAAAACCGCGAAATGAGCGGCTAGCTGCGAGCGCCACAACGACCTTGAGACGTCCAGGTGTCTTCCCTCGTTGACGCGGTCACGCTCAATCCGCGAGATTGAGGAAGCCAGCGCGACCGAACGCTTTTTTTCATGAGCTGCTGGTCCGAGGCCGCTCGGTCGGTGAAGATCGAGGGGTCTTGGTATGCTGGGTTCATTCATTCCAGCAGCCGCTCTCTGGCATCGCGCAGCTGCTGGAACCATTCCCGTCTCTGCAAGAGGATTGACTTGCGCAATAAAGGGTTCAGGTCGTCGATAATACTTTTGTTTCCGAAACTTATAAATCAAGTGGCTTTCCCTAATCTCTTCATTACTGTTTGAAACACATCTCTCATAGGTTGTTCATCCCAGTTTGTTCTCTTTTACGTATTTATTCGTCCTTACCTCTGCTTGATGACTGTTTTATAACTTGATAAAGACCTTTAAATATTGGCGCGGGCTTGCGCGATCAACGCTGTCCCAGATTTATTCAAAATTGGAAAGATTAGCGTCAGGAAGGGTTGAAGCGCACCTCGAAACGCACAGTGTTCGGTTTCTAAACGCTGTTTTTATTTTCGCAAAGAAATAAAACAAAAATACATAATAATTTTCACACCAGTGCAATGCAATAGAGACATATTTCCAGCAAGCCGCTTTACGCCATGCTTCCATGTCATCCTTCAGGCCGCGAATGTTTGTGCACACTGATTAAACTATTTACGTGTAGGTTGACATGCACTAGAAATCTGGTACTTTCTTTTAGAAGCAGCATGTTAGTGCACATAAATTCCCCCAGCGTCTTGCCTTTTAATCGCGTGGGAGGAAAATGGAAATATCCCGGGCATGGATGTGCAGAAGGCTAGATTCAATGGTCGCCCTTTATTTCTACAAACTCTCTGGCAGATTCACTACCCTATAGCCTGGTGTACTTTCTCTAAGAAGCGAGGTTTTGATAGAATTTCGTTGCTCGGCCGCTATTTTTTTGTGGTGGCGCGAATAAAAAAAAAAAGAGAGAGAGAGATAGAGCACTGCCTCGGGTGCTTTGACCTTACGCACTAGAGCGTCACAGGAGCGAGTATTTCCACAAAATAAATGGGAGGACCTATAGACCTTTTGCAAAATGCCCCAAGCGCCCTGGCCTGCGCGCGAGGAATTGTGGGAGAGACTGTCCCTCGCCTGGACGCTCTGCCTTTTCGCTTGCCCCCTCTTAATCCTCTGTCTTTCGATTTCCTTACCTATTTTTATATATTCCAGTGTATTTTTATAGCTTCTTGGTGTTTCCATTCTCTTCTGCGCGCAATATTTCTTGTATATATTATATATAGTGTTTGTGTCCTTATTTTGCCTTTTTCGACGGGAGTGCCGACGGACAACACTCCGCTTCGCGCGTCGTTCCCCGGGTGAGTACCGTTGCTACCGACTCATATCGAGCGGTTAGCTGTTCATTTTGGTTCATTTGACCAGCTTGCAGTCGAGTGGAGCCGTTTATGAACACCCGCGCACGTCTCATAGGGGTAGGCAGAGCTCTGAATCAACGATCGCGATGCGAGAGCTGCGAGTGCGCTGTGATTTGGCCGCCCGCTCTCGCTCCGTTGACTCGCACTGTAGCGTGTGCCTTCGAGTGCCGCTTACTTGACCAAGATACAGCACGCCGCTTTGTCGCCGCGAACCATTTGTCCGAATGTTTGCGAGGCTGAGGCATATGCAACGCTGCGGCGCCTGACAACTGCGCGCTGCGGCGCGATCCCTTCGCAAACGCCGACGGCTCAATGTCGCGGTTTGAATGCGCCTATGGCATGGCATGCCTTCGTAATCCATCTGCGAAGCGGTTGTCAGTTGCCAACGCCCTTTTTCAAGTGCAGAGGTGTATTGCCGCAAATCATTAATCCGAATGCCTGCGAAGCCGTAACACCGTTCGTCATATCCAACGTGCGATGTGCGTGACAAACTGCGCGCAGCGGCGCGAGCCCTTCGCAAGCGCCGGTGGCCCAATGCCGCATCTTGTATGCGCTTATGGTATGCTTTCTTAATCTATCTGCTAAGCGGTTGTCAGTCGCAAACACCCTTTTTCAAGTGCAGAGATGTGCTGTCGCCCAGGCAGTCATCTTGAAACTCGTAGTTCCTTCGATAATTTTATTTCTCGCGTCAAGATGTCAGCAACTGACAATCACCGAGCAGACTGATCCTGAATGCATGCCAAAGGCGCATACAAGCCGCGACGTTGAACCGCCGGCGCTTGCTAAGGGCTCGAGCCGCTGCGTGCAGTTGTCAGGCGCCGCAGCGTTGGATATGCCGAATGGTGTTACGGTTTCGCAGGCATTCGCAGAAATGATTCGCGACGGCAAAGCGGCGTGCTGTATCTTGGTCAAGTAAGCGGCACTCGAAGGCATAGGCTATAGTGCGAGTCGACGGAGGGAGCGTGGATGGCCAAATCACGGCGCACTCGGCTCTGGCCTCGCGATTGTTGATTCAGAGCTCTGCCTATCCCTATGACATCTGCGCGGGTGTTCATAAACGGCTCCTCTCGACTGCATGCGGGTCAAATAAACGAAAATGAACACCTAACAGCACGATAGGAATGTAGCAATGGTAATACTCACCCCGGGAACGACGCGCGAAGCGGCGTGTTGTCTGTCGGCACTCCCGTCGAAAAAGGCAAAATAAAGACACAAATACTATATATACAAGAAATATCGCACGCAGAAGAGAATAGAAACAATTAGAAGCAATCAAAAATACGCTGGAATAGATAAAAATAGGTAATGTAATCAAAAAACAGAGGATTAAGAAAAGGCAAGCGAAAAGGCAATGCGATCTCAAGGCAGAGTGGCCAGGCGAGGGACAGTCTCTCCCACAATTCCTCGCGCACGCAGGCCGGGGCGCTTGGGAAAATTGCAAATCATCTATTTCTCCCCTTGTATCAATCACTTTTGTGGCATCATGACGAACACACTTTCACCATGAAATCGTAACAAATAATGATTGATGATGAAATTGATTGGGTCCCAATAGTATAGAGCCACATTATTTAGGTTGAAAATAAACTGGGCGTCGTTCATGCAATGTGTTTACTTCCACGTTCGAATGTGTTGAGAATGAGTAGCCGAAAAGCGCAATCTGCAGGCTGCTTCCTGGAGTGGCCTGATATCTCCCCAACTCAGGAAAGGGAGGGGGGAGAAAGGGGTGGATGTTGTGGGAAGGTGATAATATTTATTCTCACTCAGGAGAGTCGCCGGTCGTTAAAAAGTCGACTAGCTCATAACGGGAAAGCCTATGGGGCCATATCTATAGTAACCATGAGTAAAATGTGGTATACAGCTATGTTACTGAGAAGTTGCGATAGTGCAAACGATGGTGCGTTGTGGAGGCAAGTGAAGCAAAGACCTATCTTACGATTGTGCCGTCTTCATTAGAAGCAAGATTTTCAGTTTGCTTCTTCAACTCCTCCTGACGCCAATCTTTCCAATTTCGGGTAAATCCGGGACAGCGTTGATCTCGCAAGCCCGCGCCAATATTTAAAGGTGTTTATCAATTTAGCAGACAGTCATCAAGCAGAGGTAAGGACGAATAAATACGTAAAAGAGTCCAAAATGGGATGAACAACCTATGAGAGATGTGTTTCAAACAGTAATGAAGAGATTAGGGAAAGCCACTTGATTTATAAGTTTCGGAAACAAAAGTTTCCCATTTTCCTACCTTGCGGAAAATGGTTTCGTTGGTCGGTCTTTAAGGAAAGCAGAGAAAGCTATGCTAAGGCAGCCTGTGCAGGCAAGTTATACAACCGGGGGACGCAATGTAGACGGCTAATCGTCGCAATGAGTCGGACAATTAACTCTAAGTCGTCCGCTAATTTTCAGTTGGAGAAAATACACGTCCGGTTCCGAATAGAAACATGCCGGGCGTCGTTGAAGACAACTGAATCGGTAACTTTTAGAAACACTCCGAGCGTCTTATCATATGCGTTCTTCCACCGCCAGCCTCACGTCTGTCGCATGAGCGGCAACTTAGGCACACTGCCACACTTCCCGCGCGCTCTGAGCCTTCGTAAAGTTTACCGAATTCACCGAAGCGATTTACAGTTGGCGACAGCTTAAGAGCTCTGGGGAAGCCCCTCCCATCCCTTTCCACCTTAGCAGGGCGGACGCCGGAGAGGAGGTCGCCCACTCCCCAGCATTCGCACTGCCAAAGTAGAAAGAGGTGGGAGGAGCTTCCCCCCGTAACCGACCGCAGTAACGTCGCCACCAGTCACCCCGCAACTTCGCCGCAAATACTCACCCTGCTCTGAAGGAGGAAGCGGATGGCGCGGCCCTGCAGCACGGCGCGGCCGCCGCTGCTGCAGGGCCGCTTGTTTGGGACTTCTCCATCTCCCCGCCCATCGTCGCTGGGCTCACGCTTGCCTCCACCCCCTGCCAAAAAAAACAAGACCAGCGATTACACTAGCGACCAACGCCACCATCCGAAGGCCACAGCTACACTGCTCGCACATCGTACAAGAGACATGATGTTCGGTGCAGGCAGGCATCGTGCAGTGGTGGTCAGGCAGCTTTGAGTTTGGAGCAAATTTTGGAGCAGAAAAATAATCTTGTTTGGAGCACCTTCGTACCAGAAAAAATTCCTTTTTGGAGCAGCATATACATCAGTTTGGAGCAATTCGGTGCAATTTCCTATTAGTGATGCCAGCATGCATTCATGCAATCAGCTATGTGATGCTCAATAAAAACCCAATGGTGGCAGTTATACTATACTACCGTATTTACTCGCAAAATGATCACTCTTTTTTTTCCGATAATCGATGCAAAGTTGGGGGGGGGGGGGGGGGGGCTTTTTTTTTAAAGGTAAATACATTAGAAATATTACAGAAGGAGGTCCCAGAGTCAGAGACCGGAAAGGGACCTCCTGTTAATGGTAGCAATAATAATAAAACAAATTTACAGCAGTCAGAATAGAAAATAAATTATGACATGAATAAGTGAAACGCAGAACTAATTGCAGTGATATAAAATGAACAAAATAACAGTAAGTTAAACACTCATAATAATTATAAACTTATAAATAAAATAACACTGAATAAACAGAGCAAGGTTATAACAGTTGGAATTGCAAATCAATTTTGAGAATAAGTGAAATGCAGTACTAATTACAATAATATGAGAGACAAAACGGCAATTATCAAAAAGAGAGATACACAATGACGTCATGACAGCAATGTATGACTAAAAGGACTGAAGAAATATGCGAAGTTTCTGCTTAAACACGTGAATTGATGGTGATTGCTTGATGGCTAAAGGTAATGAATTCCACACAGCCGTGGCTGAGAAGTTGGTGGTAAATTTACGATAGTTAGTCCTAGGCTTAGGCAATAACAAGTTATGATGAAATGCGAATCGAGTTATCTTATGCTGTGGAAACTGATTATCGTTAAGAAGTGTTAGAGCGAGTTTGCCGTTCACAAAATTATACACAAGTAACCCGAGGGTATGTTTATTTAAATTGCTAACAGATAAAAATATTAAAAGCACGGAAAAACCAAGAAATATCAGACGAAAAGTGACTAAAGGTGATGATACGAAATGCTCGATTTTGGACGTGCTGCAATGGAGACAAATGCGTGCGATAAGTATTTCCCCACGAAGATATGCAGTAGTTAAGATGACTATGTATAAATGCGTAGTAGAGGGAAATGAGCGTATCGATGTGGAAAAAGGTGCGTACTTTGATTAATGCTCTTATGCCGAATGCTGCTTTTCTAGTTAAGGAGTTAATATGCCCGTGGAATTTGAAATGAGTGTCTAATTCAACCCCAAGAAATACAACGTGGCTTGCAGCCGTCAATACATTAGAGTTTAAGTGAACCGATGGAAGCCCTGGAACGATTTTGTTGGTTGATGTGAAAATGACAAAAGTAGATTTAGAAGCGTTAATGTTCAGTATATTACGCCGACACCAGTTAGCAACATTGGCAGCGTCAGCGTTAATTTTGAGTAACAATGAGTCAAGGCTGTTATCGGAAGTAAAGATGGTAGTATCGTCAGCGTATAGTAAACAGTCAGAAAAATTAATGCACTGAGGAAGGTCATGAATATATATTAGGAACAACAGAGGTCCAAGAATGGAGCCCTGGGGGACGCCAATATTAGTAGTTCTAAAGTGGGAATAGGCACCAGAAATATAGACGACCTGTTGTGTGTCCTGTAAATAGTTGCTAATTAATGCTAGTGTGGGACCAGTTATACCAATAGCGTCTAGTTTTGCAAAAAGTATATTATGGTTAATTGAATCAAAAGCTTTAGAAAGGTCAAATAAAGCACCAGCAAATTTACCGCAGTCTATGGCTCTTTTAATATCATCAGTTAAGGAAATTAGTGCCAGGTCAGTTGAAAAACCAGCCCTAAAACCAAACTGACGGGGCGACAGGACGTTAAATTTTGAGAGGTAGCATGTGAGACGTATAACAACTAGTTTTTCAATAATTTTGCTAAAGAACGAAAGAATTGCGAAGTAAAATTTTTGCGTCCGTATTTACTCGCATAATGAACGGACCTACCATCCCGAAAAATCGACGTAACTTCTTATCTCTTCCGCGTGACTTCCAAAACAAAACTGCAATACACAAAAAAAGAAAAAAAAAAATGCTCCTCTTCATGTTTTTTTTTTTTCTTGCTTCCGTGTTTTGTTTTTTGTCGCCTCTTGCAAGTTGTTTTGTTTGCCCACGCTGCCCATGCATTCGCGACCTCGCTGCACAGGATAGAAAAGTGTTCAATTCGAGGGCTCCTCCCTTCTCTTTCCAAAGAGCGAGGAGGAGGCGAGGGCAGGATGCCTTCATTATGCGCGCTTTGCTTAGGCGAAGCCTTCTCCGCTTCTCTTTCTTATCTCCTGGCATGTGGCGCGCGACCCCGTAACCAAGCTGAGCTGTGCAAAAAAAAAGAAAGAAAGAGCTCCTCTTTGTTTTCTTTTTCTCATAGTTCCGTGGGTTGTTTTTTCTTTGCCACCTTTCACAAGCTGTTTCGTTTGCTTAGGCGAAGGCTTCTCTAAATCTTTCTTATTCCCTTGCGTGCGGCGCGCAAACCCATAACCAAACTGCGCTGTACAAAAAAAAAAAAAGCTCCTTTCCATGTTTTTTTCTTGCTTCCGTCGTATCTTTTTGTATTTTTTTAACGCCTTTTGCAAGGCGTTTTGTTTGCCCACGCATTCATGACCTCGCTGCACCAGGATAAAAAAAGTGCAGTCATTTCGCGTGCGTGGGGGGAGGGGGTAAAAATTTTGACGTCCGGGTTAGGGTGCGTTTAATCCGCGAGTGAAGAAAAAAAGTCAAAATTTTAAGAGCCGACTTGGAGGGTGCGTTCATTACGCGAGTGCGTTCATTGTGCGAGTAAATACGGTATAGACCTTTCCAGCGGCAGTCTCGAACGAAGCGATTTACAGCGCGCGCCCCTGGTTTTCAGAGTGTACGTCAGTGTTGCCTGAACGCGCCGAGCTGTGGAGTTTCTCGTCAGTGGGCTGTGGCAGCCTGCGTAGGCGCAATCCCGGGCGCTGGTAACGGCTGAATTGCCGCGTTTTCTTTTTTATTTTGTGTTCTGTGGCGAACATAATTTATAGGGGTCTTTAAAGGGGTCATGAAATGCTTTTCCAACTTTTTCCTGTTTCGCTTTCCTCCTCAACTCATAAATCGCGCATATTCCACCGAATAGTTCAAGACGACGAAAAGAAGGGAGGCCCCTCTCGCTCGGAACCTGGTTTGTGTACCCGAAGAGAGCCATTGTCCCCCTAGAAGATTAGCCCGTCGCTCAAAATTCATACAAAAGTTTCTTTCCCTACCCCGTTCACCCCTAAGCTGACAGTTCTGTGGAAGCTACGTGCTCCTTGGGCTAGCCACACTTTTGCCACATGAGCGTGGCAAATGTGGCTGCAAAGAATGAGGTCAGGTAATGAAACGGAGGTGGCTGATTGGTCCGGCAAGCGCGTAGCTTCCACCACAATGTCAGCTTAGGGGTGAAGGGACTAAATGAGGTCCGGTTTCGTGTGACGTCAGTTTGGACCCGATGACGCGCTTTTGGAACCGCGGATGTATCACAGTGAAAAGGCAGAGAGGTTACGAAGGGGAGGAGGTACGAAATAGTCCGCTGCGTTTTAAAATTTTCGCACAGAAAGTCAGGCTTTTGACTTTCTACCTTTTTTCTTTTGGCCCACTGAACGATGTGCTATTAGTAAAATCCCAATCTAAAATGATTTATCCCAACCCAAAAATCGTTTCATGGGCCCTTTAAGGAAGCAGTGCTCTATTTTTGGGAACAAAAGCAAAGAAATGAAAGCAGTTTTGGTGAGTCTGTGCACGACAGAACAAATGCAACTGGAATGTTTGATTCATTTTATGTTCATCGTTTTACGGCACCATACTCTCAGACGTGTCAATCTATATAGGTCAAAATATTTGACCACACGGGATATCCGAACTGCATGGATATTCCCCGCCCACAACATGAAATTCAACCAGTCTCATCAATTGCACAACATATATTGTACGTACCCCACGGTGCCACGTTATCCGAACAGGATTTGAGAAAGGGCTCAAGTAACACAGCATATCCAATATACAGTGTCCACGATAGTCACTTCACGGCAATCGAACGGAACCCGGCGTGTTTTGGGGAACATGTAGAAGAGAGAAGCTTTTTTGCACAGCTTCAAAGCAAATGAATGAACGTGTCTATTCTGTCCCTACACCCCGGACCCGACCCTATCAGCTATTTTTCGCGAAAACCCGGAACGCAGCCGGGAAAGTTTTTTGGAGATTATCTCAACGGAAATAATCCTCCAAGAACGTCGAACTGCCTGCGTTGCGGGCTGCTTGACGTTCGCTCTCTTGGTTTGTTTCCTGCGAAGGCCGAGCAGGCTATGAGCCATGGTATTCCCTGGTTCTCACAGTGGAAGATAACATACAAAGGGTAAGCATCCTAAACAGGCAAATAAAGTAAAAACTTCCAAGAAAAGCCGGCAAACTCTGAATGCAAAATGCAGGTGGGGAGTCACGCTGACCGGGTTTCCACAGCTCGGGCGGCTGCCAGAAAGTTCTGGCCAAAAGGGGTCGCTCGATTCGCAAAATGGCAGCGGCCAGAGCGCTGTTTTTGCAAAGGTCTATATATAGTTAGTGACAGGTTGAAAGTGGAAGCTCCTCCCTACTCTTTCCACTTTTGCAGAGCGAACGCTGGAGAGGAGGCCCTCTCCGGTGTTCACTCCGCAAAAGTGGAAAGATGAGGGAGGAGCTTCCCCCGAACTCCTAACCTGTCACCGAGTATGGTCAAATTGCCATTCGACTGCCGTGAAGCTGTGCCATTAACAGTCCAATTCATGTTTTTTCATTAGTGCCAGTAGACATAGATTAGCAGGATTGATGTAAGCGTGCCAACTA